TTGTTTCGGGTAAATGGTTTTTTTTTTTTTTTTTTTTTTTGCACTGTGTTAGTTCTTGAAAATATGAAGTGTTGTGCAAATGTTGAAATTTGGTAGAATAACAGAAGAGGTAGAATCTCCTCTGGGTTTGGAGGATATCAGTATGCCATGAAACCTGCAGAGGTCTCATCGGGAGTCCTTTTCTGTAGACATTAGTGAAAACAGAAGAAAAGTAATTCTAAAGCATCAAAGGAAATTAAAATTACAAAAAAATATTCAGACAGGAACCGTATACGTAATCATATCAAGAGAAAAGTAATTTGAGATACAGATACTCCGTGGGCTGATGAAACCTGGACAAGCATAATGGTGATAGATCTACAGATAACCTGAGACATTAAATTAAGGATACATTTGTAATAAAAGATAGGATTTTTGCATGTTAGGGTGATTGGGGGAGGGGGGAAAGGGCAAGTGACAATGGTATTAAAAACATTTCATTCTGCACCAGAAATCCCTTATTTGAAAATCTTAGGAAGGTCAGAGCGAAGTAATAAATAAAGCTACCAGGATATTTTGGCTTGCGGGGTGTGATTAAGCTCAAAATAAATATGTATTATCAAAACACCACAAGCAACAGAAGAGAGAAAGCATTTTTTGTCCTTCAGATATTTGTAGATAATTGAAGAAGGGAGCGAAAATATTTAAAAGGTTGAAATGTGTTTAAACTGGAAGGAACAGTATTAACTGAGGGGTAAAAACTTTGAAAATAAGATTATATAAGGTTCATGGGCTGGCATTTTAAGTAGTCTAAGAGTGAGATTAAACAAAATGCTGGAGTATGTCCTTTGGGGAGCAGCCCTGCACTGTTGAGAGGACGGCAGAATAGGTTTTGTTTATGGCTAATTAGCATTCTCTTCCTCCTATCCAGGGTACTGCTGGCTTGTAAATCTAGGTGGTTCTAAGAAAATTGGAAATAGTTTCTGCTACTGTGTCTTTCTTGGGGTTACCCTACCAGTTTTCAAAATTCTAAAAAAAAAAAAAAAAATCAGTTTCATATTTAGCTCCTATTTTAAACACAAGAAGCGGGCAGACAACGTGGGCTGTATGGAAGCACGCAGACAATTGGATATAATGAAATATTGTAAGCAAAAGAGCTTGAAAAGGAGGCAGTATGCAGACGGAGTGGAGCTGTCATGACAGAGGATAAATACTCCGAGTAGGTGAGCAACAGGGTTGCTGATACCTGGTTGGCAGTGGGATAACCATCATTCAGCCTCTCCTCCCTCCCGGTTGTAAAACTCGCCCTGCAGATCTTGATGATGGTTTAGGTTGAGTCAGAAGCTCCCTCCTTTGAAGCTGAGAACGGCGGAGGAGTGAGCAGAAGTGGAGGAGCTGCTCTCCTTTGGGGGGGGGGAAACCTGGTTCTGCTTTCAGAAAACGTGCTTGGTGCGTGAAAAACCTCCGCAGAGCTGCTGGCGTGCGACGCAGGGCTGCAGTGGCTCGGGGGAGCGCGTGCAAGGAACCGAGTGCTGGCCGCGGCTGGCACGCTTGCCTGAATTTTTCTTTCTCAGATAAGGCTGCGGAGTTTTGTGTTTCTGCAGGCAGCAAGGCTTTGCAGCGGCTGGACTTCAGTTAATGAAACCGTCCGTTGTTCGGCACGGGCCACGGCTGCAGCTCAGCTCCGCTAAGTGGTATTGAATGCCCTTCCCTCTCCTTCTCCCCAGCTGCGGGAGCGCGTGGCCACGTGGCCCCCAGGGGAGGCAGACCAGATAGACTAATGTCAGAGCAAATTTGGGATTCAGCCAGTGTCTGAATGACCCGGTGCTGGCTGGAGGTGCGCCGCATTTATCGTTGTATCCTTCGCCCGGAAGGGAAAGCTGCAGGTAGGCTGATAAAGGGACTGAAAGGTTTGTCTGGCTTCACTGGAGGTCCATCAGCCCCTGTACGCTCTCTGCTGAATGGCTGCTTGGTAATTCCCACTCCGCCTTTCCTATCTGCGGGATAAGGTCTGCTTCTCTCTTACTCCATTGATTTAAGCATGCTGGTGTCAGAATAGGCTCGAGCACCTCCGGGGCTTTGTGGGGGAGGACCCAGGGCTGGAACAGCAGCCAAAATTTAAAATCAGAATTAGTCTGTTGACACGCACATAAATCAAACAGCCCTCCTCTCATAAATCTTTTCCGTGGATTTTTTTCTGCTGTGGTGGTGGAAGCAGTAGGAACGGTGCAGCAGCCTGTGCTTCCCAGGGTTGGGTTTCAATGTCAGGGCTGTTCTCCTTCGCCGCAGGTGGCTGAATGCAGCTCCCTGCTTCCCCCCCAGTGACATCCCTGCAGCGGCTGCAGGGCTGCATGCTTTCATGTTTGCTTTGGGTGGTTTTTCAGGCATGGTGGGGTAGGTTTTTTACTGTCTTTTGGGGGTATATTTTGCACAGTCAGCTGTCTATTTCTGAGTCATATGGTTGGTGTCAGCTACATCTAAGGCAGTGCTAAAAGCTGCTAAAAAGTCCACTGCACTAGTGTAGAGGTCTCTGTGAGATACCCTAAGCTGAGAGAGGAGTGGGTAATTAATGCCTTGTGTGATGGTAGTGATGCTGAGGACTGGGGAGAGAGTGAGTGTGCTCCAGGCTTGTGTTCTCAACTCAGGTCCCACAGCTCTTCGGAGTCTTCTGCACTGTCGGCACAAAGCAAGTGGGGTATTGCAGCGACTGGTACCTGAGCACCCACGCTCTGTACTCAGTGCTGCCAGAGCAAAGGAGGGGGCTGCTGCACAGATCTGTTTTAAAATGAGAACTTCGTTTCTCTCGCTGTAACGCAACAGAGAAGAGTGTGCTCTGAACCACCCAATATGCTTGCTTGTGAGCAGAGCCACAAGGGTCAGGCTGGAGGAGATGGACCCAGATATAGTACTTCTAGGCATATTAACCCTGTTCTTCTGTCTGTTTCCTTCTCCGTTCTAATGTTTCAGTGCCTCTTCCCCCTTCCCAAATAATGCCTTACTGTGCGTAAAGCCTTGTGTGAGATTACAGGGGTATGCAATTTGCAAGCCCCATAATTTGTTCTCCATATGCCACCCAGTTGTGAGAAAGTTGCCCAAAAAAGACTAAGAAAACACTGTCATGGCTCAGAGGAGCAAGGCATGTTCTTTTTGATAGAGAAGATAATAGAAGACTGCAATATTCTGGTGGTGGTGGGTGGGATATGCACATGAGCACATGTGCGTATATCACTTCTCGGGCTGATGTTTTGATCCATCTTCTGTAGTATAAAGCTGTTTTCTCCTTTTCCCTTTCTTTAGGGTAACCAGGAGCCAGCAGCAACTCCTGATGCAATGGTGCAGCCATTCACCACAATCCCATTTCCGCCACCCCCACAGAACGGGATTCCCACAGAGTATGGGGTGCCACACACTCAGGACTATGCAGGCCAGACCAGCGAGCACAATCTGACGCTCTACGGAAGCACGCAGCCGCATGGAGAGCAGAGCACGAACACGGCCAGCACGCAGAACGGATCTCTTGCAGTAAGTGCAGAAGGGTGAAGAGCCAGGAGAGCAGCACAGTGCTTTGGGAAAAAGCAGCCATTGATTAGATTGCTGGCTGTTTCTTAAGGATGCGGCAAATCAGCTGTAGACTTGAAAAGGAGAGAATTACATAAACAGAACGTAGCTTCTGACCTTCCATTACTAGGTTCCTGTCTTTCCCCTTGTGCATGTTTGCCTTGTAAATAGGTGTCTGCAAAGGGCAGTAGTACTTGGGATCACGGTGTTTCTACCATGGTGGCGTTGTCTGAAGACAGTCCTTTACAAAAGTGTAAATTACTTTGTGTTAATTGGCAAACAGTTCCAACGAATGTGATGGAGGCAGATTCTGCAAGGTTGACAGTACGAAGGATTAGGGTGACCACGTGCATTGTAGGTGTAATCCCAGGGTCTTTTTGTTTTCAGGAAGCTAGCAGAGTACAAAATAACTTTTCTTTGACTTTCTGAAGATGGCAGGGAGCTTGAGGGAGCAAAGATAGGAGAGGACCTCTCAGCTACTGAGCCAAACAAAGATTTTCACCTTCTTATATTTTTTTTTTTTTGCTTTCTTCTTCCCATAGCCTGGAACTGGCAATGGGCAACATGCTGGCAGATTATCCCAGGAAAAGCTTTATCCACCCCTTAAGCCACTTGTTAAGACTTAACTTCCTAATAAAGAGCCTTATGGTGAGAGCCTTCGGTGCTCAGGGGCGGATTTAATCTGTTAATACTTTCAGTTTTACTTGTAGTTGGGTGTTTGGCTTGTAGGGATTATTTTTCCCCCTCTCAGTAAGTACTGAGTGAATTCAGTGCCAATGATTGGAAGAACTGATAGTGCCAGCTCGGGCGTGCATGGTTCCCGGCGTGTGCCTCTGCTCCTTCTGTCCTGGGCAGTGGCTGCACAGTTGACACCGCTGGTTATGACTTTGTTGAGGTATTTTTTGGAGTTCATCCTGGGAGCACCACAACTTCAGCATCTTGAAGAAGAAAAAGAGTACAAACCCTGTAAAGCACATTGAAAGCACGCAAAAGGAACTTCAGGTGCCTTACTCAGCAAACACAAATGTAAATGAGAAGAGATCGGGCTGGAAATAAAACTTAGAGTTGGTGCAGTGTGCAGAAATGCAAGTCATCATTTTAGTACCAGATTGTCCGATGTCGTTCCAACCCATAAGCTCTGGGTTGCCCGTCTCCAGCAAACAGTTATCTCGAGCACTGCCAGTTGGATGGGAAAGCTGGAAACGGGGAATAAAACAGGGCAGTGGCTTTCCCCATGTATTTTTGCTGTTCCCATCCTTGCCCAGAGCTTAAGAGTGTTTCTTTTTAATGGAAATGATGTGAGCCTTGACCTTGGATGTAAGCTCTTGCCAACCCTGCTGCTCCGCTTCCATATTAGGAGCCATCTCTGTGGTGCTGCAGGGCCGAGCTCTGTGTTTCATCAACTAATGCCGGCTCCGAGGAGCCCACAGTGCACGGGGAGGCTGGCTAGCCTGCGAGGAGAGACTGGGAGCCCGTCTGTGCGGGAGGGAGCGTTGCTGGGAAACTGCTGGGAGGCAGTGGTGTTGCTGGGAGGCTGTGGAGGGAGCCAGACTGGCAGGGGTTATCTGAGAAGCAGGCTGAATAACACGTAACGCTTGTACTGGCTGTTGGAAACAGGTGGGCACGTCTGGTCTGACCATTTGACGTGGTTAAAGATGTGCGAGCTGAGTGTGCAGAGTCGAGCTTACAGACCGTAGCTAGCTGGGAAAGGGTAGGGGTGCAGACGAGCGCGTTGCTGCTGCTGCTATGGCTGGGACTGATCAAACCCAGAGGATCCCAGATGGTGGCACAAGAAGAAATCCAGGGGGAGGGGGAAGGCGCCTCAGCCAAGGGCCTTTCACATGCCAGACTTTCACATGCACGGGGTCCTGGATCTTCTGAGTCCCTTTATCTTTCTGTCTAGGACTCCTTCTGTATGAAGTTATTTTGATCCTGTGGGCTGCCTTGGGATGTAATTGCTTGTAACTTTTCTCCTTCTCAGTACGCTGATTAATGATGTAGGAACTAGGGGAAGGAAGAAGGCTCAGTAGTTACTCAAGCTAAAGCATGCTATTAAAATACAGCAGAATGGGTTGGTTATTTCACCTTGAACATCTACAGCTGATGTCAAGCATCTTGTCCATGACACATGCTGGTTATTACTTATTTGACATACATGTTCAGTCCACGTGGACTAGACTGCTGTGCTTTAAGGCATCTTTCCCTTTCACCATTTTGTTGTCTTGCTCAAACAACGGTGCTACCTTTAACAGAGCAAAAAGTCATCGCGGGTGATGTATGATCCCTCCCTCCCATTATTGCGACTGACAAGCGCAGCTGCTGTCATGTGTGTGAAGGTGATACCCCAGACGGAACAGCCGCTGGATTTTTTAGCTGCTGACTTGAAGCCTGTGCTCCCATGGGATGATTCAGAAATTCCTTCAGCCAGACAGATAAGGTCTCTCCTTGCTTTTAAGAACAAGGCCTGTGCTTAGTCCAGTTGGCAGGACAGAGCGAGATAGCAAAAGTTGTGCTCAGACAGCGGGGCTTTCCTGCTTTTCAGGCTGGTAGCCTTCAGGATAATTGCAAAAGTAACAGAGAATATGGAGTGGCTTAAAGGTCCCTCATGGAAAGGAGAGTTTCATCTGGTTGGTAAGATGTTAGGCAGCAATGTAATGGGCCCTAACATGCTGGGTGGGACCACCTTTTCATAGAAACATGGCAGATTCTGGCAGGCAAGTCACATTGAATGATTTGAGATTAGCGGTGGTGTCTGAGTTAATAGAGTGGTCTGGAAGCCTGAGGTCAAACATTGGCAGTGAACTTAAGTAAAATAAACTTTGAGAGTCAAAGTCCGTGCCTTCCTACGCAGTCTAAAAGCCCTGAGCAAAGGGGAATGACTGGTCGGTGTCATCAGCTAGGGATGAGTGTGGTTCTGGAGGTCTGAGTATAGTGGAAAGCATTCAAAGCTCTCGAAGCAGGGGCATGGAAAAGAAATTGGCACAATAGATGGTGTAATACAGCTTAATATTTTGGAATCTTTCTTCATTGTAGGATCAAGCCTCATCTGTGGGGCTTTGTTTCTTGCCTGGCATGTGAGTCTCCCGGTCTCCATCTCCAAGCATCTGTCCTTTCTCTTGATACTGTCCCAAAGCACAGCTGAAAGACCTGGATTAAAAATAGACTGAGGTACCAGACCATATTTGGCCTACTCGGTCTGCCTGTTGCAGCCTGTCTCTTAAACCGTTGACACTCTCCATTTAATTTCTTACGGTGCTGGGTTGCCTGGTTTCTTCCCTCTTCCCCCTTATTGGTTTACATTAGCATGCTTATCCCTAATGGAGACACCCAGCACAGATAGCTGTGAGTGGAGATGCTAATTAGGCTGCAGTACCTCTGGCAGCTGAGCTGATCTAAAGATTCACTGCTGTCAGAAAGGAGAGATCTGGCTCCAAGCGCAAACTCCCACTCCTATTTACTGGCTCTGGCATTTGTTATGTGAGCCACTTTAATTCACTGACCTGGCAGAAAGCTGTCCGATTCTTTTGCTGGGTTAATGAATTAGAGCAGCTCTTGGAGGGATCCAGCAAATGCTGTTGTTGCAAGGTAAGCGTATGGAGTGCATGGCCAGAAGCCGAGAGCAATTGTCAGCTCTCTGCATCTCCTGGTACTCTACCTGCGGAGGGAAGATTAATCATCCACTGAACTAAAAAAGCTTGCTTGATAGTAAATGCAATGCACTTAATACTGCGAGCTGATTATTCAACTCGTTTCTCTTGTTAATGTCAGAGGGAAGAATTTGTATGTCTGTATAAATTATGGAATGCAGCTGGAGGTGTAGAAGTAGAGGAATAAGTTTATGTAAATTACTTCGCATGGAAATGGCAGGTGCTGTCGCCTTGGTGTTATGTTGTCATGAACCAATATAAAGCATTATTTAATTACTGAGCATCGTGTCTCCTGGCTTCTTGATGTGCCATACTGAAACATACTTAACTCATCTGCTATACCATAAAGGGATATTGACTTGCTGATTTCTTCAAGGAGACACGTCTGTGGTGGGAGACCCCTATGTATCGTGTTTGGAAGCAAGACAGGGAAGCTGCTCGGTCATCTGGCTGTGCCCCATATATCTAGCAAGGGTTTGGAAAGAAGGGAGCCAATGGCACCAAGGGTTCCTCAGCTGACTTTTGTAACACATGGATGATGTTATAATGATGACTTTCCCTTGGGTATTTCTTGCCTAGTCTGAGATTGCAGAATTTTCCTCTGTAATTATTTTTCATCACTTTAGTAATTAAAGCAATTGCTCATGTGAGGTATTTCAGGTGAAGAATATGTTTAATGAATATCCTCACTTATCTTTTGATACTGCTGAGCAGGTAGACATGAGGAAGAACTAGCTTCAGATAAGTAGCTAGCTGCTGATTGTTTGGCCACCTCAGCTTGGAAATTGCTGTCTTGAGGTAGCAAACTCTGACATTTAACATCAGGAATTTGCTTTGAGTATGAGGCAGATTATTTTATTATTTTCAGTATGAAGCAGATTATTGTCAGCACTTGTAGACTTGTGTCTAGTGAGGCAGATTTAAAAATGATTTCTAAAGAGAAATAGGAAATAAATCAGCAAATATCATTATATTAGTGTATACAGCTGTGGTACTTCTGCATATCTCTCAAAGGTTATAGCAGATCTAGAAGTAGTACAGGGAAGGATAATAGTGATGATGAGAGGGATATAGCAGGTTCTTTATAAGAAGAAATGAAATCTTCACTTACGAAAAGAGCTGACAGGAATGAAGGCATATGACAAGTACATAGAATATTGAATGGTATGGGAAATAAAATAGGGAACTTGCCCATTTTCACATACTAGGATGCACGCAGGAAATAATGGGGTGCCACGTATGAAGAAAAAAAACCAGGTTTTTGTTTCATGTTTTTTCTATATAATGAAGAATTTAGCTTGGAACTCTTGTCCATAG